CGCACGCGCCTGAGAACGAGACCGACCGCACCAGCTACCACGTTGCCAGTCTATTACACCTGTGTTGATACCGACCGCAAATCGTGTGCGGAAAATACAACAGAAGCGTTTGCCATCATGGTGGCATCCTGGGTAATCCATACTCTTCTACGACACAATCGCCATAAATAAATGCGGCTACGTACAAGATGCTAATGCAAGGAGATGCTACATGTAAATCTAAAAAATTTCGACTGAACATAATTCTGGATAGGATGATTCTACTGCTACAGAAGATACGAGTCCCTGGCAAATCTCGGAGCACGACGCTACTCAGGACACGGGTATGATAGGGTATGATATGATAAATATTCAAATGCGCTGGAGATCCCTCACTTGCCGACGCCCATCCAGGAGAGCAAGCCGTGGCCCGTCTTCGAGGCATTAGTCTGCAACGAAGCGCTAGACGCAGCCCGATGCACCCTCAGGTACCGCCCGTCCTGGTGCGGCAGGGTGGGGAGATCTAGCAGCGAGCCGTACTGCGGCGGGCGCTTCTCGTCCGGGTCGGGCAGCACCCTGACGTTGATAACTGAGCCACTTGGAAGCGTCGTGGCGATGGCGACCCAAGCACTCTCGGATACCCGGACAAACCCACTCTCGCCGCGTATGAAGTTGTTCATGAAAAATCCGACACGATGCGCGGGAATATGCGCGAGTTGGTAGTATTCCTTCTTCGCTGTGGCGACAGCTTCCTGGAATTGACTTTTCAGTGTAGTAAACAACGAAAATGGCATTTAGCGCACTTGTAATGTCTCTGGGCGCTTCACGAAAACAGGACTGTCTTCATATTTCAGGGTGATGACCTCGACGGGTGCGGGCGTCAAGGGCCTATATGCTGAGGAAGTCGCTACAGCTGTTCTGCTCGAACTTGAGGCATTGGAGTAGCGTGTGCTGCGCGAGTGGCTTGACATGATCAAGTGCAAGTAGTATCGAGTGAGAGTGGAAAGGTATTGGAATTATTCAAGGTGGACGCATTGTGTTTATATACATCTGGTAAGAAGTGGACGCACCGCCTCGAAGAAATATATCTCCGGAGCTCAATTGCTGTATGTTCCATGCATGTGGCCTGTGGCCGGCGTGGCTATGTCCAATAATACTCTGTGTATAATAGCTGTGGGGCGGTGACACTGGTTGTCGCCTCAGCGAATGACTCCGATGTGATATGCAGAATATCTACACGCTCTATGGTACGTATTTGGAAAGGCGGTGGCCTCACGTTCTCAGATATACTTTCCTGACAGTGATAGGCACGCTCTGCTGCAGAACAGCTTCATTTGAAGGGCGTTTTATAAAAATGCTAAGTAAACAAGTGTAAGTTTTTGAAGCAGTACCTCGCCGGTGCTACTTGTATGCAGTCACCGGATTACGTCTATATGAATATCACAGCATGCGCATCTCCAAGACGTTCGGCCTTCATTACAATGAATCTGTCAGAATGCGCCACTTGGACAAAGCATAGCTTGTATGCCAATTGAAAATATCATGCTGGCGGCATGTTCATTTAATGAAAGGCTGGAACGTAGAAACGGCTCACAGAACTCTTAGGGGCGCATAGAGATTGACATGAGGCCGGGCTTTTGCAATATTCCTGTGACTCATACTATAAGCGGTGCAGAAGTAATACATAAAACGAATTTCCTCGGAATTCTACCATCGTTCCGTCGTCCTTGTCGGGCATTTGATGTTAAATGCCGCTATTCAATCGAAACTTGATCAAAACTTGTAGGAAATCGCCTCTACTTAAAGTTATACATGATTAGTAACTTGAAGTACAACCGTCAGAGTAAGTATGTTCTCACTCTGAATCCTGACGCAGTGATACCCGATTTTGTAGTTCTTAAAATAGCAGCCTATCTATTACTGCACGAACTAATATTGCGGTGGCAAGGTGTGCAATGGCAAGGAGTAAGTATACCGATATTTTTTACAGCGCTCATGAAACTTATATGCAGACCAAAGTGAATGAATGACATGCGGCTGCCACTGACATAATCACAAACACGTTCCGCCATGATTGACGTTGTTATTACCATGGGCGCCTAATGTGCTTGTACAACTACGTGTATGCCATTCTTCACCTATTTAAACCCAGGCTACGCATCCACATCGCTAGCATCCACATCCCCCAGCATAGAAAACAGGCCGTGTTTTGATGACTTCCCTTTGTTTCGTACAGGGGCAGGGGCAGGTTTCTCTGCTTTTATTTTCTTCGCCTTCTTCGCGCGCTCCTGCTGGAATGCATCTGCGAGCTCGGCTTCAGCAGATTCCCAGACGCCGGCCGCAAGCGATGGGGAGAAGTACGCAGATCCCGTCAATAGCGCATGGAACGCCTTCCCTGAGAACTGGTGCACGTTACCCGGTATGCGGTCGGTCAGGAGCAGCGTCTGTGCCAGCTGTTCGACGGACTCGAGGGCCATCAACATCTGGGCTGTAAGCTGGATGTTGCGGTCGTCGATTGGAGGCGGGGTTGATTTGATTTGATCTGCAGTAGCGAGATCTTCGGTAGCCCACCGGAATGAAGAGAGGAAGGCTTGTACTTCGTTCTTGCTCCATCGCTCCTTTTCGCGCTCCTTGCTACTGCTTTGCTCCCAGCGCGTATGGAGCGTCTTGACCACCCAGCGGACAGAGAGAACTGCTTGCATCACTTTCGGGGAAAGTTGGCGGACAGATGGGACGTCGGAATGGAGGATGCGAAGGAAGATTGTGAGGCGATCCTCTTCAGAGCGCAGGATCAAGGGCGGTGCGTTTTCTGTGATGTAGTCTGAAAGCGATATCGAAGATAGCAGCTCAGAGATGGGCGTGACGTTGACCACTTCGGAGGCTACCCTTGTGCCTCGACGAAGATAATCAGTGACGGTCGGAGGGCTGCGGGACAGTGTTCGATGAGATATTATCGATGCCGGGGGATCAGTGGCCGCATCGTCCGATGCGTCATCTGGTCCTCCATGGAGTCGGTGCAATTCGCCTTTGAGAGGCGCAAGGAAATCAGAGGGCATAGCACTGTCGTTGTCAGAGTCGGATTCGACCACATCGATTAACTCGTCTTCGTCGTCATCCTCGTTTGCCATATCCGTGGAACCATCTCCGTCGAGGTCTGTAGTATTACCTTCAATGTCTGACGCCGGTAGCCCCACGGTGTCGTCTAAGATAGCGTATATCCACTCCCGGATCGGGCGTCCAATGCTGCGGCCCACTGTCTCTAAATCAGGATTTTCTAAAAAGATCCGTGGCCATGAAGTGCCTGTGTTGAGGACGTCCATAATGTCAGGGGCCAAAAATCCATTCCGGTAGGCATCCAGATATTTTTCCCTTGCCTGCAGCAGATTCGGGTCTGCCTGGTCAGATTTTTCGGCCTGGCGCATGACATTATGCGAGATCATCGGCAGTATAGAGCAGGCCTCGGGATCGTGCAGGGCGCAGACACTTGTCGCCCATAGGCCCTCCCGTCCAGCGACATCACCACCATATTTCGGAATGGCGTACTGCAAAGTGGCATTAACGATCTTCTCCACGATCTGCTCAATTTCACCGGTGCCCATGGTGGTCACCTGCCTCCCCAGGAGTGTGTTGACGGTTTGGTCGATGAGATCCATGACACTCCCAACTTGATGTTTCGCCTTTCGGCGCGGGGTTCCTGGTGATATGACGGAATGCATGGCGGTCGCCACTTTACCTATTCTTTGGCTAAGGGAAAGATTTCGTTCAAAAAACAGAGCTTGAATTTTACGAGAATTTGACTCTGATTCCTTCGAGAAATCGTTTCCGACAAGGGCTCCAAAAAGAGGGAGAAGGGTAGAGGGAAGATTCAGATGCTTTGCCAATGTTTCCGGACTGTAAGCAATGAAGGATAAAGACAGCTCGCCTGTAGTTTGGGGAGGTAAAAGGCCACCGAGGTTTTGAGTGACATGCGAGGGCTTTCGCTTCGTTTTGGAGTTTTTTACCGTCTGGAAATCGGCGTCCTCTTGGTTAACGACTTCTGCGTCTTCTGCTATGGTTGTCTGCCATACCATGTCACTTAACGGGATGTAACCGCGATAGCCGTCCGAGTTAAGAATGACAAAATCTGAGTCGTTTCCGACCACATAGCCTCCAAGTCTGCCGGCTAACTCGACAGCAAATGGATCGCCCTCTTCGTCGGCGAAATGGAGGTCCAAACCTCCTGTTTCCGATCGCAAGGTCTGCAGGGCATGGACACAAGCAGAATATGCTAGAGGAGGCAAGATCCGGGTCTCGTTGAGAAACCGCCCTGTGGATCTTGACGATGAGGAAGTTCTGAAGAAGAGCTGTGCCGGTTGCACATGGGATTGACCAAGGCGAGCAACGGCAGTCGGAAATTTCAGGTCAGGGCATGCTCCTGCATAGAATGGCATAAGGAAAATTCTGCACCATTTGGATTGCTCACAAACCATCAAAGACAAAGTATACTTGTAGCCCGACCTTGATCCAGGATTCGACCACATTTTTGACTTGGTGGACGAATTCGATATACTCTCCTCCGTATACCCAAGGAAGACTGGAACTCTGGTAGACGTCATAGATAAATCTTTGACTTTATGAGCGGGCCAAATGTAACCACGTCTGAGAAAGACTCACGACCAACCATCTACAACGATAGGAACTTTATTCTTGGATGAAGATGCTAGGAGAGTAGTTGTGGAAAGCAGGCGTTGCTTCTCTCGCAGATATGTAGTAAGTCCGTGGACGCCCATAGTCGATAAATAAGCCTGCAGAGATTGTGCGGCTGGAAAATAGTGGAAGATATTTACTGCGATCCCATGAGGATAGTTGGTAGGAGAGGGGTAAGTAAATAGTTGTAGCTTGTCAATGACTCGTAATGACGGAGGTTACTGCCGTGCCGCGAGCTTGAATAATAATCTCGGAGTCGGAACGGAGAAAAGTCGTAGCATTGGCGAGAAGGTGCACATCATATGGAATATTACAAATATCCAATTCTCGTTCATGGCAACGTGGCCGAGTGGTCTAAGGCGCTGGAATTAGGTCATCCGTTTAGGAAAGCTTCTATCCAGTCCGAAAGGGCGCGAGTTCGAACCTCGCCGTTGTCACTTGAAACAGTTTTGGTCTTTTTCCTACACATCCCGTAAAGTTCTTAGTTAACTGTACTGCTGTCGCAAGTGTAAAGATCTGATTCAAATTTAGAGACCATACAGCCTATTTGATGTCAACTTTCAAGGTTTCAATGCCACCCCGAGTCCTGAGCTGATGTCGATCCCACTCCTCGGTATCATATATGTACTGCCCATGAAAGTTACCTATAATCAGAGTGCTTAGCATTTCAAGACGCCTTCATTTTCCACTTCAAAAGGGGTTTTATTTATTTAAGCACTCTTAGTTACAAACTGTCGCAGTTGATGCTAGTGCGCTTGAATTTGACCGTATACCTACTCTAATTCTACTTTCAATGTGTCCCTTAGTGAGTATAAGATTATTTTACGGCCATTGATCCGGTTTAGTCGACGAAGAAGAGATTGGTAGAATACGGGTAGATAGTTGCATGTAACAACCTAGACTTCAAAGAAGTGTGGTAAGCGAATGAACAGAGCAATAAGATGAGAAGAAAAAATAAAAATATCAGGGGTTGTCAAGTTCTGGAGCCCGCCCTGAACGCGTACGTTGAGGTATACACCATGAAGAAATTCAAAAGAGCCAACGCATCATGCGAATGAACAAGAAGAAAATGCTCACCAGGAATATTGGAATGAGCCAGCGTCGAGGAGACCGGGAACAACAAGGTTCCAAGAAAAAAAATAGCGTGCTGTCCGAGAGTGAGCCCCATTGAGTTGATGGTTCAGCAGAGAAACCAACAATCGCATAACTATGTCTATGAGCAACGAAGGGCCAACCTTCAGACCAAACCTCCGAGCAACAGGCTTGCTCGTATCTTCGCAAACCCGCGCCTTGATCGAAGGAAGATCATCAGAGATGAGCCACAGAGTGGATGAGATGGAGCCCGAAGTGAATCATAGATCGCACTCCGAGCATAACATTCTCCCCACCCCCGACCAGTACCGTCGTGCTTGAAGGCGGTCGCTTTCCGTGGAATGGTCGAGGGCGTGCTCTGTATCTCCGGGGACTTTCCCCACAGCAGAATATGGAAGTGCGAGACTTTCCTGTATGCAAGCTGCGATAGCGATTCTTCGGACAGCACGTTGTGTGAGGAAGAGAGGGACGCGACTTTTTTTTTTCCAATGGCCCGACGTTGAAGCGGCGCTCCAACTTCGGGCCTATTGGGTTACGTAATGGACACAGCAGCGGCCATTGCGGGTGCCGATCGCAGACTCTGCAACCCTCTCTCTCAAACCCTCATGTCGTCCAACGAGCAACCATCTGCACCACCTCCACAGCAGCAGCAACGCCACATAAAACCGCCGTTTGCTGACTGGCCGACGATAAAGATCCTGACCCCACCGCAAGGTGAGTTGCCACCCATTCTATCTGTGTCTATCTGCAAGCGGCTCGCTAAACTCTTGCTCCCATCATAGGTCCATTCCTACCCAAGATCGACGAATGGTGCTTTACAATTTGTTCTCAAACTGTCAGTGGGAGAATCAACTCTCGCGAACCCAATTGCCGCTCCGTATGCATACGCAAGGTCTTTCCTCATGAAGTTCGGAACATCCTTTCTTTCCGGCGGCACCACAGCGTAGGACCCGACGGGAAAGCACATTACCCGCTTCCTGCCGAAGGCCAGGCAGAAAACCTTCCCCGGGCTCTTGGTGGAAAGCCGCATGATGACTCCGAAGAAGTTCACACCACACGTTCACCGCCACCAACAAAGTTCTGGGACGAGGGGTGGTACTTCTGGACCGGTCGTGGGCGGGAGGCTTTCCTTCAGAAAATGGAGAAGATGATGCTCGACCTGCCCAATCAACAGCAATTAGATCACATCCGAGAGGGCAGGAAGGAGCTGTGGCACGATTACCAGCAACAAATCAAGCAAAACCCTGACTATCCTGTCCCTGCTCCCTGGTGGGCGCCTATAGTAGCGCCTAAGTCTATATCTGACGCAAAGTATGTCACTGTTGAATTATTTATCGGGTAAATTTGCTGACTTTATCGTTGTAGCTTTTCATCCCTCTTGGTGCAACTTCCACCAGATGTTTCCGCTATATGGAACTGGGGCAGAGTTACGAAAGTCCTCGCTCCCTCTTTCCAAGCCCTGAACATCTTCCGTGACACTTTTGCTGCCGGTGAACACAAAGAATTCGCCCGCCGCGTATGGGAAAAGGCCAAAACCGAGGAACCATGGGTCCTCGCTCAGCGCTGTCTATCAGGCGCATACGAAAAGTGGAAGAAGCCAGACGTAGCGGAAGAAGACGATAAGAAGGGATCAACATAGAATCGAGACGTGGATACCCACTATCACATCATATCACCGGAGATTCTCTACGTTCTCCGGAATCACACTCATTGCATAAACAATCATCACATCCTTGGGTACTGTACATTTGCTCTATATACATATAATGTGTTATTTTACGACGTAATCTGGCTTCATACTAGATCCAATTGCACCACCAATAGATCATTGAAAAGAAATACGACCATCCTGCTTTGCCCTCCGTTACACGAAAATTTGTATCATTATTCGAAACCAATCTGAAGTTCATGGCAGTTTTAGGGAAGTTCACGCAGCTGCTGTTTTCCTTGCCGAGGAATAAAACAAATCTTTTCAAATCTCTTCGTCGCAAACTACACTTGGCCTGCCTGTGCCCATATGATCAAATTACGGTGACGCCGTACGCGAGAGTCGAATGGATGGCGTCGCTGACCATCTGACTTGTCCACTGCTTGTTCATGGCCTTTCAAACGCAATGAGTGACCGTACAACTCGGTCAATTAAAATACTCGACCACTGGCGAAAACCTGCCATCGATTTGATAGTCTCAGTCGAGTGCCCGCCCCAGGCGCCCATGGGACTCTGGAATGTTTTCCCCATAATTCATAACCGACAACCTGCTTTGCATGCCACTTTCTTGTTACCGCCATCCTGCTCGGTGAGGATCTCAACGCCGCTTTTCGAACTTGAACGTACTACTGATCACTGGCAGAGCTACCCAACGAGCGGTATATTACACCCCAAAACTGTGTACATTATAATTACTGTCACAGCTACATACTACAGTCTACCGCATCCTGCCGTAACCTTCGTCTATTATAATCGTTATAGTCATTACCCTCTGCCCAACCTCTGCGCATGCCGAGCACGGGCGCGGGCGGCGCCAGTGGCTTCACCTGACCCATGTCGGTACAGGCGTTCGAGATGAGACACGAGATCAAAGCCGTCATCGCAGGTACAAGCGCAGGGGGTACCGAGTCTCTTCAATGTCTAATCAGCGGTCGGGAGGCTTAGCAACTGCTCTCGCGCCTTGTTGCTCGCTGAGAAGGCGCCGATGGGTGTAGCAATTGTCGGAGGACTTTGCGACTTTATTGGTCGGGAACCAGTTTCTTCCTCGCCTTCTTCGCTGAAGTACTCATTAGTATCTGTGGCATTTACTCAACACTTGTAGTACATGTATGTGTACTACGTCCTCCGCACACTCAAGTTGGCCTCCTAGACTCCTGGGTTAATTTGATCAAGAAGGCAATAATAAGTAGGTACATAAAGTGGGCTGATGAACATCTGATAAGGATGTATTACTTAGGGACGTATGGAAAAAAGGTCAGGGAGGAGTTCCAGTCTTTTTTTGCCAATTCAGAACAAATTTCTCATGACGGCTGGCACCAGAACGGTCTGAAAGGAGAACATAGAAGGGTATAAGTGTCAGAGCACCTCATAACTTTTCGTCTTGAACAAATAGTTCAGGTTGTAGATTTTCACCACCACGACGAGGCCGCTTTGCCCTGGCACCAGACTGCAAAATAAATGTACAGGTGAGCAGAAGTTTGACATTGGAGAGTGGGAGTCAATACATCATTACCATCCAATTGGTTCTGATCGTTTTCTGGCACTGGCGACGCTCTTTTGGAACTTGTTCGGGACTGCGCAGGGGTAGTAAGATAGGATATTTGGGCCGTCGTATTGGATAATGGTTGGTTTGGATTTTCTGGTTCGCAGCGCCGGGTCCCCTCCACTTTTAATTTCATAAATTCCTCGTCTTGATTATCGATGAGGAACTGTAGGATAGTCCGCTGAAAAGCTTCATGGGCGTAGTCTGGGAGACTTCGGCGATCGCCTACTGGCATGTAGAGTGGATCTGCAGTGATTATGGCTGCGAGATGTGCAATCAAGCTGCTCACAGGGTGCAAATTGGAATGCAATGCCAATGAGCCATGTTTGACCAACCACTGAATCAAGTTATCACGGAAAGATGTAGTGCCTGTGAGTTGCGACCAAACAGATGTGAGAATTGGTTCTTCCTGGCATGAGTTCGTAGGCTGTGCTCGTATGACCTAATACAATATGAGCCAGAAGAACGACTCTGCGTCATGGTAGAGTTCATGCCTCCAATTGGTCGAGGACAGGGTGGCTGTACTAGAGTCCAAAGTAATTTGTTCTATGCCCTTGAAGCGAACGATGCGTTGTGGATGTGCTTTCTCATATAAAGAAGGAGCCTTGGGCATAGCGGGGATTTTTAATAAGAAAGGTGTTTTAGGGTCTGGGTATGGTCCTTGGCATTCAACAGCCCTGGCGATAAAGATTGGAGTTCCCTAGAAAATGAATTTTTAAATAATAACCAAATTACAACGTCAAAGGCTTGGGCGCGACTAACCGCTACATCAACCAATTCACTCTTAAGGTCGTCACGAATGCGCTCCGCACGATTGAAGTCAATGAGAAGTGCAGAGGTTTCTTGAGGACTGGAACTGCTCGTCGGTTCAGAAACAATACGACTCAAACAGCCCCATAATGCCATAACTTTTACCCCGAAGATATCTGATGAAACAAAGGTCTGGTTCATCCTGACTGCATTCCTTGTCTGCGGCTATGTTACAACTTTTGTTTGGGATCCAAAGAACATTCCGAATGCTAACGTCGCGATGAAGCACTTTGTGTTTTATCCGGAGGTACCGCGTCACTAAATTGAAGTCGTATGAGCAATTC